GAGAGAGAGAGAGAGAGAGAGAGACGAAGAGAAAGAGGGCAACGAGGGGGTATCGCGTTCCGTCGAAAAACGAATGGCCGGATGTGTTTCCGTTGTAAACACGATTTTTCCTCGCAGAACGCTCCCCTCCCCTCGGATCCACCCTCGTTAGGAGCGGTTGAACGAGTAATAGGCAAGCAACTCTCTGCGAATCCGCTTAATCTTTCGGTAAACTAATAAAACTTCGTTAAGGCCGTCCAACCTCCCCCTCCGAGTGAAACGCCACCGATTTCTTCCCCTTCTTCTCTTTCCCGTTCTTTCACCTGTTCGATCTTGTCAATGATCGTGAACGTGAATTCGAGGGAGATTAATTTCAAAATTCGCTTCTCGAGAAGAGTTTTCCTAAAAAAAGAAGTGTGTTCGAAACTCTTCGATCGATTAATAAAAAATTTCTTTTATTACGAACTTAACTTTTAAACAAAAATCATCTATGGATTTGATTTTTATTATACAGAGAATGAAACTCTGCGAAATATCTATAAAATATTCTTTTTCGAATATTTTAAATAACACGTTAAAATATCCGTGAGCTTGTCTTTAATATTGGCCTCATAGATGGAAAGAAAGGTAATCTAAGCTTTTCGAAAAGCGAAATTATTTTCGTGGCAAGTTTGACGAGCACCGGTCGTCAGCGATAGCTTACAAACTCGGAGGGAATATTCGAGGCAGAGCTGTACAGAGCTGATTTACAATGTTTGCTCCCAAGAGTAAACCGTTAGTTACCCGTCGCCTATTATCCCGATGGTTTGCTTATAACCGAAATGGAAGGAGGGTTAAATTACCATCGGGCGAAGCGGAGCGAAGAATCCCTTCTTTTTTTTTTTTTTTTCCTTTTTATATCGCAAGCTCGAATCTTAGCTTAATCACGCTAAAACTAATTATCCTGTTCCCGGGGCGAAAGACGAAGGGAGGGAGGGGGGGAGGTAATAGAGGTGGAACTGCGATAAGTAAACGCGTCGTGTTTCTTTTGTTTCGACAGGAGCCGTTGGTGGCGAAGGCGGAGACGAAGATGACAAGGAGAAGGAAGAGGAGGCCGAGAGAGAGAGGCAAGAAGCCATCAGGGAGGCTGAGGAGCGAAGGAAGGAGAAACACCGCAAAATGGAAGAGGAACGGGAGAAGATGCGACAGGAAATCAGGGACAAGGTGAGAGATAAGCTCCTCTTCTCTTTTTCCTTTCTTTTTCACTTTTTCCTTTTGCCAGTTTTTTATTTTCTCTTTCTCGGTGAAAGAGCGCGCGTGGAAGGGAAATCAACTTCTCGAGAATTATGCGTCGACCGTTAATCCCATTTCTGCCTTACGAATTCGAAAAAAAAGGAGAGGGGGCTTTCGTCGAGATAAAAGGGAGGAATCTTCTTGGAGAAGAATCTACGTTTCGACGCGTCTTATGATCGCGAGATACGGCGAAAAGCACGTTTCGATAAAACGTTCGCTTCTTTTTCTCTTTCGCAGTCCGAGTTCCAACGACTTTTGAAAATTCTCCCTTCTCGTTTTCGAGTTTATCTCGATTCACTCGGCGGATAATTAAATCTATTTACGGGTGAATCTCGTTAATGTTGTTCGATAATTTGTCGGACAACGTATTAATCAGTTCGAACTTGTTCGAAAGAAGGGAAGAAGGTTAATTAATTGTGATTTTGAAATTCAAATTTTGCGCGATAGTTCCATTTCCGCGAAAGTGGAGTTAACACACAAACGCGTTTCCCTCCTCCCCCGATCGTGAACGATGATTAAACGAGAAAGGAAGCGAAGAAGCCTCGCGAAACCGATCCGCAACCCCTTTTGACAGGTTCAAAGAAAGCCGATTCGGAATACCGAATGAACCAACGATTGGGGGAAGCCCTATGAAGGGTGAAACGCCTCGGAATCAAAAGTATCGTGTGCTTATTTGCAAATGTGCGCCCGGAATTTCGAGCTACGCGTGTGGGTATATCGAGTGCCTTCCGATTTCACGCTCGAAAAATTTCAAAGATTCGATGCCTGCCGCTGTCTAAAAAAAGGGCACGTTAAAGATACTTCTCCTCCGTATCGTTTTCGATATCACGAGACTTCCATTGATCTGAAACCAATCAGATAATTGGACAATTTATCGATCTTTAAAATAAATTAGAAATCGAAGAAGATAAGATAAAACGTGAACCGATATCGTTAGAATAGTCGATATATCGATTTATTGTTTCATAACTCTCTTATTAAAGGAAGAGATTTTAACTTTCGTTATCGTTGAAAGAACGATTTTCGAACGATCCTTGAATACTCGCATCGTCGAACGAATTTTTTAGTTATTTTATATCGTTTCGAAGAGGATCGAAAGAAGCCTAATATATAAAAATTTCCCCAAAAAAAAAGGAGAGAGAGAAGTACAACATTTTCGTTCGAAAATGTTCCCTTTCCACGAGTGAAAATTTTCAATTACGAGTTTCATTTTCGCTCTCGATTCTTCGCACACGGAATCCCACCGCCTACCAAACATCCTCCTCGTTGCATTCTTCGAGGACAAAGGATTCTCTCTCTCTCTCTCTTTCTCTCTCGGTTCCCGGGACGGCGAGATACACGGGGATATCTTTAGGGCGTGTTTTCACGCCTGGCTGGAAATAGGAAACACCTGGCTTCGTTTGTCGATGGATTTCCACGGATTTTGTCTCGAATCTAACCGCAACCTATATTTGTCAGAACGGATATCATTCTTCCTTCGACGAGCGTTAGATCGCTCCTCTCTGCTCTCCTCTCTTCCTGATTACCATTAAGAATGTCGTTCACCGGGTTGAAGAGCGCTTATCGACTTCCCTCGGCTTGTATAACAGATTTCGTAATATCATAATTCGAGCAGACGTCGACGAGATTAATTCCACCTCCTCTCCTCGGCTCATGGCCCAAGATTTAATATATTTTATTATTATCACCTCCCCACGGAGGATTTATGCCACCAATCGACGAACCATCAAAGATTATCGCGTGGTAACCGTAATTGTCGTCAGTCAAATCTCACCCTTGCCTGTCTTCTCCTCTCCAACAGGGTGAAAAATCAACCCACGCCCGCGCCTTCGTTGCTTTATTATTGCGATCCATTTCTTTCTCTCTCTCTTTCTCTCTCTCTCTCTCTCTCCTCCAGTTTTTTAAACGCCTCCAGTTCGTTTCTTCTTTGACAATTTCCATCCGCGTTGCCGTTTCTGAAACGTAAACAAATGGATAAATTCAATCGCAAACAAGAAAATCGAAGCTCCAATTCGAGTCGTACATTCTCCTTTTATCGAGGGGAAAAATGTTGGATCAAACGGTTGGACAAAGCGGTGGACCTGGCTCGGTGTACCTCGATAATTCGCCGCGTCAATGCGAAATTGGATCAATTATCTAACGAAGCCGATTTCATAATTCGAGCCGGATCGAGTATGGATCGGGCTCTCGTATTTTGGTCGCAATCACGCTAATTAGTCGTGACCGGTCGATGATACGTAACCGTTTGATCAACGAGAACCATTGTTCACGGCTGTCCCGCGGTTTCGTAATCGTCCTCGATAATGGCGCTAACGAATAATCCTCGGACCGTGATTATTTTCATCGCGCGCGCGTTTCACAGAGCTGTGCAAACTTTCACAGGCGAATTGGCCGGGACCAATTTCGAGCGCGAGCAACGATAATGGCGGCCCGTTCTCGCCAAAAACAACGCGCCATATTTAAATTTTTCGTTTTTTTCGCGATTTAACGAGTTTATCTCACTCTCAACGCCAAAACATTTTTCCCAGAAAAATGCATACACGATTGGATATTTACCATCCAAGAGAGAAGAAAAAATATCGAGAGGGGACGAAAATCGCCAATTTTCGACGAATGTTTCGTAATCGAGTAATTTCCAAGCCAATTTTGAAATATCCTACATTTGTTTTATTAGAGAGAGAAAGGATTCGATAATTTGAGAAATATATTTGCGTATTACATTCATTTTTTAAAATTTTATGTCTCTTCAAGATCCTCTCCTTAATCGAAATCGCAACGAAAGAAACGATCTCCTCTATCTATCAAAAAAAATTCTATCAAGGATCGTCAAAATGCGACGAGCGAGATTCCAAAGGATCTCGCTAAATTAATCCAGATTTCCTAAGAGAAAAAAAAAAAAAAAAAAGTAGGGCGGATAATACCTAGAAGGATTAATTTATCAATTCGCAAGGGGAGGAGAAGGGATTTCACGATTACCGTGTAAATAAGGGGAAACAGACGGAGGGAGGAAAGAGGGGAATAATTATTCGTCCGACAAGAAGACGTTAATCCAGCGAACGCCACCGAAAAGATAAATTGCCCGAGATGGGCGAGTTTTCGTGGCCACCACTCGTTTCCACGTGTGTACGTCTGCGTACGTACGAGGAACGGCTTAAAATGCAAATTTGATTACGAACCGGCACCGTGACCACGTTCCCTGCTCGTAGCCTGCTCCTCTTACACCGTCCACGTGTATCCGTACACGTTTCGAGTATACGACGAGTTTGTACGGCGAGAAAAGTGTACGAAGAAGGGGAGAGGGGGATTGGAGAGTTGTTTATTGCGTTTAACGAATATACTGAAGCGAGAGACAATTTCCGCGTACGCAGAGACGCGAAGAAAGAATTAAGATGGGAAAATTTATTTATTTGTTTATTTATTTCTCGCTGAAATCGAAAGAAGGGACGATGATAAAATATATAATAAAATGGAGTAATGCGATCTTAAGTAGTGCAAGAAAAAAAGAAAAAGAAATTAATCGAATAAAAATGGAACAATCTATTATTTTACTACATAAAATTTATCGAACAAAAATTACAAAAGTTATTATTCGATTCAAAAATTGGAATGGAAAATTTTCGTTCATATCTAAAATTGATCTATATCAATTATAAAGGAAATACGCATACCGTGATACGCAAAATCGTGAGAATCGTCGATCAGAGATTCAAGGAAGGAGAAGATACGGTTAAAAGGAGGGCATCGTCGTGGAAGAAAAAAAATAAATTCTCCTTTCAACCATTTGGCAAACTGTTGGCAGCGTATTCACGTGACGAATGTATTGGTCGTGAGCTAACTTCTCGTGGACGGGTAGTGGTCCTTTGCGAAACATTCACGAGCGTACCGTGAAACGGAATTGTTTATCGCGGAACGTATAACAAAGCTGGTCATTGTTGTTCGCAAGTTCCGGTTCAAAGCAAACTCGATCCTTTCTTTCTTGTTTTTTGCGGTGCACGAGAAAAAGCACGAGCACTGGTTTGCCGGAAAGAAAGAAGGAATAAATATTAGAACTCGTATAAAAAACTTTGTCCAAACTTTGTTTTCGTGCGAGATAAAGCGATTCGCGAAACGTTATGGAAAATCATAAAACTGGAAACTAGTAGCGAGAGAGGACGAATGTATCGAGAAAGAGAGAGAGAGAAAGAAAAGATAATTTGTGAGCGTTTTCGCGAGGAACCATCGCACAATGCACCCAGTGTTCGAAAAGTTTCTCCGACACGGCCGATTTACCGGGAAACAAACGAGAGGGAATGGAGAAAAAAAAGAAAAAAAAAAAAAAAAAGAAAAAAAAGAG